GTAGTGGATCGACTGCTCGGGGTTCTTGTACAGCTCCTTGTTTCTCGCATCCAGCTCCTTCTTTGACTACGCCACAGATATATAGATATCGATGCCAAGGGACCGTGGCCTACCTTGGGCAGCGCCGCCTCGCGCGCCTTGGCCTCGGCTTCAAGCTACGTGGTGGAGCGTGTGAGCCTCGTCGGTCGAGCGGCGACAACGGACGTACGTCGGCCTTTTTCTTCTTGGCTTGTCGGATCGTCTCTTCCAGCTATGCTCGCCACGTGAGGCGCGCGCCAGTTGCATCGCCTACCTCGTCTTTGCGCTTGCGCCCAGCGCCATCGAGGCGGTTGTTCTCTTCGTCGCGCTCAAGCTTGCGGAGCTACGACGCGGGTGGTTGCTTGCAGCGTGGCATGGCGAAAGTACCTTCTCCGTGAGCGCGCCAACGTCGACGTTGTCGCCTGTCGTCTGCTTGACGTGCTCGCGCCGGTCCTTGACCGCCTTCTTCTCCCTCTTCTTCTGCTCCTTCCGGTACGCATCGAGCGGCGCCGCCGAGAGCTTGTCCTTCGCCATAGCTCTGGTGCAATCTCGGGTCGTCGATGATTGGTCAAAACTCGAGTTATTGTAATAGAAAGACACATTTTAATTCGATTGTACAATGTTTTTTACATATATCAAGTTCCGATTCTGTAAATGTATTTTAATATTTCACGCATGGATTTGAATCGACAATTCCGCTCCATATACACCTCTGAGAGGCAGAAAGATGAAGAGTTGGTATATAGCTTTTCTCATCGCGTTAGGACGTGTACATGTACACAAACTGTCTGCGTGACGATAGTTCTACTACGACGCAAAACAAAAATCGGGACGCAGTTGCCAGCAAATCCTACTACCTACGCGTCGCAACCGGGTGCTACATGCATTGCATGCATCGGACTGTACGTACATGTACTCTGGAGCTCGGCGGTCCGCACCGCTGTCCATGCCCTAGAAAGTCTAGACTCTTAAGGCCCCAACAGCACCGGTACAAGCACGACCACCAGCTCGATATCAATGTTTTCCTGGTAACCCTAGTCCTACCCTAACCCTTTGTTTAGCCCGCGTTCACAAAAAGCTCATATGATTAGCGAGTCGTACGCGGTACGCCAAGGAAGGCTTGGATGTGCTTGGCCACGTCGGCGGCCGTCGGACGGTCACTGGGCTCGGTCGCCATGCACGCCGTTGCCCACTCGGTATACCACGTCGGTGCGTTCCTCGCCAAGGACGGGCGCAGACCCGACGACGTGATTTGCTGCAGGATTTTGACTTCGCTGAGCGGCTTGCCATGGTCGTCCACAAGGTCGCTGTACGGACGCTTGTACATGGACATTTCTGCAAGAAGCACACCGAGGGAGTAGACGTCGGCGGGCGCCGAGTAGCGCGACTCCATGAGCACCTCGGGCGCGAGCCAGCGAAAGGTGCCAATGCCCTGCGTCATCGTCGATGCGTTCTCGCGCATGGCCTTGGCCGAAGCAAAGTCGGTGATTTTGGCGCCTTTTTTGCCATCGACGAGAACGTTCTTGGACTTGAGGTCGCGATGGACGATCGGGATCGCGTGGATGTACGCGAGGGCGTTGGCAATCTGCAGAGCGACCCGCGCCTTGAGGCGGTACGGAAAGCTCGCGTCGTTCGAGTTGCTGCAGTAGTCTTGGAGGTTGCCTTGGTCCATGTACTCCATGACGCATCGCAGGCGCAAGGCGGCCGGCGGCGCGTCCCAGACGACGCCAACCAGCGACACGATGCGTGGATGGTCGAATCTAGCCACATCCTCGTCGACTCGAGAGTCCGAAAGACAATAGTGTACATACCTCGACATGGTCACAATTTCGTCGGCAAAGCGCTGGACGTCGGCCGCACTCGCTTGGCCGTCGTAGAGCTGCTTGATCGCAACGGTACTGTGGCGGTACTCGCCCAAGTAGACTTCGCCGTGCGAGCCACTCGCAAGCACGTGCCAGCACTCGACGTCTTTGGCCGGTAGGCGGAACGGCAGTAGCGGCCCGAGGTCGCACTCGCTGGTGCGCACGTACAAGGTCGATGGCATCGTGTCCGTGGCGTCGCACGCAGGCAGCGACGCCTCCTTGTACATCGAGTAGTCGTCACGCGCCGTCAGCAGCGCGTTTGTGGACTGTTGTTTGGACGGCCGGTGGCAGCAAAAGTACCACGAGAGCACGAGAAGCACGACGGCGCACCCGACGCCAATGCCAATCGCCATGTAGATGCCTACAGAAGACGCATGAGCTGCCACGTCATCACGTTACCATGGCACCGTTGGAGCTTCCGCTCGGCGCCGCGCCGTCGCGGAGCGAGACGTAGGTCGTCGTCGTGTTGGCTGGCATGTCGGCCACTGCGGCGTTACAATCGGGCCGTCACGGCAGCGGGATAAAGGCGCGTACGGGTGGGACATAGAGCCGGTCTCGTCGCCCGATTGCAGTGGCGCGACCGTCACGTCCCGGGCAGCGCGAGATATTAGTACGATGACTGGAGGCACACGAGCACAGACGAGATATGCATCACGGTCTCCTCCGAGCAGTAGCAATGGCAGCACTGTTAGTTGGCAGCCGTCGCAGCGTCTCTTGCGGCGTGGCGACCGCCCGGAACTCTGTCTTGGATACAGTGTCTGGACAGTGTATGAAGCAAACAGTGGGTGTGCAAGTGCAATGTCATGCCGCCTTTTTCAAGGAAGGAGAGAAATGCGTCGAATGAAGTCACGGCACACGCACTGGGATGCTTGTCGTCGTAGTATAGCCATGGCTGTTCTGGATCCGTGCCCTTTCACGAAGAGCCTCCACCAAGAGTGCGAATATTTGGGAACCAATACGAACCCGCGACTCCTCCATGCGTCCTTTTCGATATTAGAACAAAGTCCATAGCTCCGTAGGCTAACATGTAATTCACTTTCGCTTTTCATACCGATCGTCAAACAAGGCTTTCGCTTTACATACCGATCGTCAACCAAGGCTTTCGCTCTTCATACCGATCGTCAACCAGGCTTTCGCTCTTCATACCGATCGCCAACCAGGCTCTCGCCCGACAAGTGAGAACAATGGCGCAAGGGGTACGTACTGTGTTAGCGCGTTCGACATCGAGTAGCCGCAAGTGTGTGTCATGCCCGTATCTGATCCGGTCGAGTCCCAGAGCTGCAGCAACAACAAAGCAGCCTGTGAGAACTGGCAGCAAGGGGGTTTTATTGCATTGCAGCGACACGGACGAGATACAAGCGTCGCAACGTGTGCGCGATCGGATCAAATCCCTAACGATTATTCTCCAAGGAGCAGTACGCCGTGACCATGCCATTCTAGCCCCTCACAACGGCGATGCGTCGCCGCCGCCGTCAGTCGCCCGTGCTCACAGTCGAAAGACCACCACCAGGAACAGATTCATGTAAAGTAAGCTCAAATCGAAATGGACCCCCTTCGACAAGTACGTAACGTCGCGGAATGGCGCACCATCCTCGCACTAGGATAGAAAGGGCCATCTCACAACTCATCGTTGTAGCAGCCTTGTAGTGTTTTGTGCCACGGTCCACCCGCTTTGGTTGCATCGGGAAGAAAGAGCTCGTTTGTTACCAACGCCTCGGCCGCTCCGTTGGTTGGCGTCAAGGAAAGTTGGGACTGAGGGCAGTTTGGGATTGTTGTGTCATGTCCTTGGTCCGAGACAGTGTTGTCGCCGCGCGTCATGCGCAGTACAAGAATCCCACGCAAGAACGATGGCGTACTCGTGCTAGAGATGGCAACAAGCAGACTTTATGCACGGCGCTGCTCAGATTTGAGTGTGCTTCCGTGCCAGAGGATCTCGTGTTCTTGTCGTACGGCTACAGTGTAAAGCGCCGCACATGCAATGGCGCCTCGATTCCGTCCGTCATACAAGGTGAAACGGAGGCGATCCTTCGCCATTCAGCCCCCACTCGCAGGCGCGCACCCTCTCATGCGTCTGTCCTCTATCACAACGAGAGGTAGACCACATTGGTTCGACCAGCAGCCTCGTATGATTGTCCATGACAGCGGCGGCCAAAATCTTGCAGCCATGCAAGTAGCCAGTATCTATCTACTATATCTGTTCCTCTTACACTGCGCTCTCCGACTGCCACGTTGCCATATTGATCTCCCACACGTGGTTTTTCCTGCATTTCACACGTGAAAAACGTGCAAAGGCTTTGCCACGAATGATTGGTTGGCGCCAGTGGGTTGGCGCCTCCGAATTGGTCGACAGCCGTGTCCCAAACACGACCCAGCCCCACACACGCGCGCATGTGGCCACCGCCACAAGATCATTCGGGCCCAGATTTTCTCCGCAACGATTTAAACACCTAGCGTTTTGACACTACTTCTGATCAGCCTTCGCTGCAGCCTGTTGGCTTGACGAATATGGGGCCGAGACTGGCGCCGAGACACGTCCTGGGATTCATTGGCGCCTCCGCGCTTGAAATAATGGTGGTGCTGTGTTGCGTGCGTGGCAACAGGTACTATTCGGGTGTAGCACCCACAAGCACCAGCTCGTGCTGTTATCACTGGTCCACTACAACTCGCGCTGAAAGACTTGCGACTCCCTTGGCCAATCTCTCGATCCTACTAATACGTCGACTGCGTTGCTGGCCACCACGGATTGGCGTCCTCTTCTGGTCCGTGGTCGATCCCGCGATCACCTGGTTGACATTTCCCACCTATTTCCCACATCATTGCATTTCTCACGTATTCGAAAGAACGCAGTGCCCATTAAAAAGAGGTCGCGACACCATACAAACATCAAGCTAGAATAAGATTTTCTAGAAAAAAAGATCCGCGCGACATTTCACATGCAGCAACTTCAAGCAAACAATATAATGCGAGGTTTTAATCTGTATACATTTTCGCTGTCAACCATGCAACTTTTTATGCATGGTACAAACAGGGCGTGGCGCCGATGGTCGGCGTTTTATAAAAATCGTATCCTTGCATACAAACACCAAGTGCGAATAAAAGGTTCATTAAAAGGCGAGCGCAGCACTGAAAGCTCAAATTTCAATTTCGGCGCTCGAGCTCAAGCAGTCCTTTCTACTGCTTTTGTATCGACCACCGACTTTGCCCTTCGCCTCCTCGTTGTATGCCAGGCTTCCGCTGCGGTGGGAACTCGAACGGCGACTGCTACTGCGTGTACGACTACGGTTAGAGACGCACGACCAACTACCAAGACCCAACTCTCTCTCTCTCTTTCATCTCGACAAGTACCAGCATGGAGTGGCTCGAAATCGCCAAGGACCTCAACGCCGGCACGGTCGGCGGTGTCGCCGGCATCGTCGCGGGCCATCCGCTCGATACGATCAAGGTGCGCCTCCAGACGCAGTGCCACACGTCGTCGCACGGCATCTCGTCGTCGATTCGCGCGATCGCCGCGTCCGAGGGCTTCCGCGGCTTTTACAAGGGCATGCTGTCGCCGATTCTGTCGAACGCACCGATCAACGCCGTCGTCTTCGCCGTGTACGGCCAAGTGTCGCGCCTCTTCCTCCAAGACA